TTTGGCACCTGCTGGTGTTTTTGTGCTCAAAGAATTAGTAAGAACCTTGAAACATCACAGAAATCTAGTGTAAAACCAGACATTTAAAAGTATTGATATGACCTATGCATAGCTAGCATTCAAATTTACTGTCAGTGACGGCTTGAAATAAAAAGTATATTTTTATAGCATTTTTATAGGAATCTGTTGTGCTTGATTCTGCCCACTGTAATAAAGTAATATCTGTCTTCAGGATTATCAATGTGGAGCCTTTTTATGTCTTTCTCTTTTTTTTTCATTTAGGATACCTTGGCTCACACACCTTAAGCACAGGTCTACATTTTTTCAGGATGATTATAAAGCTTGTATAAAGTCTGACACATATATCAGCATTCTAGCTTTAGAAGAATACAAATGGCAAATTGAAACAGAATTTATTTGAAAATCCTAAGGTTGAGGAAGTTTATTTACATTTCTAGCAGTTATCAGATTTCAGGAACCCAATTTATATAATTAGGTTTCAAACTGGTCTGGAATTTTCTGTCCTACTTTGCTTACTACATATGTTCAGGCAGAGGAGTGTTTATGGACATATTTGAGTGGAGCAGGAGATTAATTCTGAGTCTTGTGCTGACCTTTGCTCTGCAAAATTTATTGGCTGGAATGACACCAAGCTAGGGCCCAAGTGCAGCACGCTCCTGTGTCCTGAAAAATTTGGCACAGAGGAGCAAAACTCTGAAATTATTTATTAACAAATTTATTGTTTTTCTTTAAAAAATGCAGTCCTCAAGATGCACATCCAGCAAGCTGACTCCATAATATTTTGTTTGTTTTCTTAATAAATATCTTCTGCTGGAAATGTGTTTCATTCAGGGCATTCACCCACAGCCCCCTGGCAGCAGGGATCACACTGGGCACAGTGTGTTCTCCTTGGGAATTGCCTCTGTGTGTGGGTTTGTTGAGTGCATCCCTGGATGGAGCTGAGCTTGGCTTGAACAGATTATGACACATCAACCAATGCCATAGCTTGGTTAATTAGTGAAAGCTGCTTAATGAAGGGCAGTTTCTGAACATAAGCTGGAACTGCACAGCCAAAGGTAGTCAGCTGAACCAAGAGCTGCACTCAAAAGGCTCACAGTGAGTTTTCATTTAGCATTGCATGCAGTGCTAATATGATTTCAATTCTGAGAAATAGGAGATACATACATACAATTTCCTTAACTTTAATTTCTCAGGGCAGCCCTGCCTATGAAATCTAGACACACAAATAAATATGTGCTTGTGGAAATCAACTAACAAAGCACAGCCTCTGGTTTAAGAATGCTGCTTCTAATGTTACTTTGTCATAAATCTACAGCTGTAAAGCAGGAATTGCTCACCAGTTGTGGAGATGATAAATGGAGGTTTTTATTACTCGGTTGGCTAAATATTTGGGTAGAACACAGTAACAACGGACAAGGTTTGCCAATTACCTTCCTGAGATGCACAGCCCTTCCCATGATGGTTGTGCTGTGCAAAAAGCAGTACAGAAGGAGCAGCTCAGACCTGTAGTTTGTCCTCACATTGTATTGCTGCCTGCTTATCAGAAACAGAGCTTGGCTTGGCAGGCAGACTTGTGGCAGTAACACATAATTGAGCCTGGAATTCGGTGTTCATAAAATGTGAGACACACATTCCCTGCCATGATAGATCCCGTGGAGAGCTTAGGTTTTTTTACCTCCTCCACTTCTGTGAGGAAATGTAAGTGATGGTGTTGGAGTAGAACTCTTGTGAAGTGCTGAGCTGGAAATCATGTCAGTGGCTCATGGCAGGCACAGCAGGCTTGTCTTCAGGGAAGGATGGAGAAGTGTTTCCTTGCCTGCAGCCAGAGGGTGTTGATATGTACACCTTGGCCAAAGAGCTGGAGAGCTTGTAAAAGGAAGTGCAGGAAGGTTCAAGGGGAGGAAGATCAAAGGAGTAAATAATAATGAGCAAAAGACCTGCTGGTTCCCTATAAGCAGGGTGGAAACAAGAGGAATTGTTATTTTAGTGTCAGGGATTGCCTGGATAGGAAGTGTTTTGCTGCCACGGTGTTTAACCCTGTGCTGGCTGGAGCTTTCTCACACAACTGGAAGGGAGAGGTTGTTTCATGATCTTGGGGTTGCTGCAGACCACGCTGTAATGTTGCTAACTGTAAATCTGGATTAGCATTGGATTTTGCAGGAGATTTGTATATTTTCAGAAGTATTTATTTCTTGGCTCAATAGTAGGGAATAGGGCATTTCAGGGTGACTAATGCCAAGAATCATCCATTCAACTTTGCTTTCTTAGTGTCAAATAATTTCTAGACTGCAGCATCTCTCAGCCATATCCAGAAAGGCAGTAAAGAAATACCTGTTGTTTCACCCACTGTAAAATAAGCATTTTTAATATAACATTAGAATTGCAAGATTTCCTTTTTAAATATGGAAGTAGTTTTGGGTGAGAATATTTTATTTTATTCAAACTATTTCAACTTCTGGTATAAAAAATGCTGATAAAATTGATGGAGGAAAAAACTTATTACAAGGATAAGCATATCTTCAACATATTTAAAGATGTTGCTGGAAACATGAAAGGAAGCCTTCTTCAGTCTCTCACTGCATTGAAATTATTACTTTAAAGTAGTAAGAAAATGACACATATAAACATTAAAACCACCATACTTATCAGAGGATAAAATTTGGCACGCAGCTTCGTATTTTTTATAGAGTTCAGAAAAATCCTCTTGTGGGAAGTGCCCTAAGAGCCTGGGAATAGGATCAGATTTACAATGTGCATTCCCAAGGCTCTGGAAGGCCAGAGAAGGACTGAGAGCAGCCACCTCTCCTCTTCCCTGAGTCCCAGGATGAGCTGGGAGCATTCAGCAGACCCACACTCTTCTGTGAGAGGCACATTTGCAACTGAAGGGAGCTCTTAGAAAAATGGTAATCCTGGAGCATGAACAGCTTTTTATAATAATTTCTGGGGGCTTTCCAACATTTCATTCTTCACAGAAAATGCCTGCAGAGCTAAACAGACTATCACAACCAGTCTCTGAGATTTCTGAGTCATTTTAGGGAATTGTGGCCTCAATTCCAGTAACAGGAGCTCTGTTATCAACTTTTATGGGCCTGCATGCCTTCTATGGAAGAGTTTCTTAAATTAAATAATAATAGAAGAAAACTAAATAAAACATTCTCAATTGAATTCTTCTATTTTGGGGGGCAATTTTTATAGATTCCTATTAAATTCTAGGCAACATTTCCGTGATGGAGGTTTATCTTGTCTTTCAATGATATTAGACAGCAAAGTTCTCAGGGGGTGTCTGTGATGAATAATGCTTGCTCTCTCCTAGTTCCAGAGGAGGAGGAGTGTAGCAGAAAGGCACATAATTACCTTGGTGCAGAGCCACGCTGGTGCTGCTGCCACAGTGCTCCTGGCAGGAGAGTTAATGGTGCTTGGTGCTGGGCTGATAATCCAGCTCACACAGAACTAGGTGTGGTGTTGTAAGATGTCATCAGATTATGCAAGATAGAAATGCTCTGAGATCTTACCAGCAGCTCTTTTTATGGAATCCTACTTGAAAGAAAGAAGGATGCTGTAGTAAGAATGCCAGTGCCCAGGTACTGTTGTTTTAATAGGATTACTACTGAATCACCAGCCTGTTTAATTAGACCTGTAAAAGTTATTTAGCAAGGTGTGGATTGGGGCTTGGGGGAGGAATATCAAGAGCACAGCATGTCTGGAAAAGTTTCTATAAAAATCCATCTATAAAAGTCTCTTACTATGTGGTCTAATTAAGGTCTGGATACAGCACATGCATTACTCTACAAAACAAACAGGTTGGTTTCTGTTTGACGCACTTTTATTTTTATAACCTGATTACAAACTGAAAGAGTTTGTTAATTTAGCCTTAGTTTGGGTATACAGCAGAAAGCACTGCTTGTCACTGGCTTGGATCAACCCTACTCAAGGCATTCTTTGGAAATAAACACGACCAAATCAAGTTGTATCAAATAACTGCTTTTTCAAATAGTTAATCTGCTTTTTCTTGTTGGTGTAAGGTTAGGTTATAAACATATCAATGGTATCCAGGTTTTGCCTGCTGCCTGAGGAGAGTCAACGTGTGCCCGTGTCTGGAAGAGGAAAATAATTTCTAAAATGTGGAAAACTGCAGAAGCTTAATGGTGAAACTATAACAAGAATATTTTGAGTTGCAACCTCATGGAAGAGAAGTGTGGGATGGCCCAGCTGGGAATAGTGACCCCACATTAGTGCTGCTCAGTGAATACTTGAGCATGAATTTGCCACAATTATCTGTTTGTGCTCAGTGACAGCAGGGCAAACATAAACTAACCCTGAAGTCATTCTCTTGCTACAAGAAGAGTCTTTACTATTTATCATGAAATTATTCAAACTTTTGACATGGTTTGTTGCTCTTCTTTAGCTCTTGTTGTCTCTAGGGTATTTCTGAAGGATGGCCATAAGAAATGTTTGATTTTTACAATGAGGGTGGTCAAACCCTGGGGCAGAGCCTCAAAGGCTGTTCAACCACCATCCTTGGAGCTGCCCTTAACCCAGCTGCACTAAGCCCTGTAACAGAAATACAACCTAACACCGAAGTCAGTTCTGCTTTGAGGAGGATGGTGGCCTTCAGGGCCTCTTCCAGCCTAAACAATTGTATTATTTTATATGATGGGGCAGCCTATGAAGCGTATGGTGGCTGATAAAAAGACACAGTACAGAGCAGCAGTGATTTCTTCAAGCACAGGTGGTGGCTGCAGTCAGTTCAGTCAGTCCCAAACACAAGAGGCAGTCTCTGGAGCTGTTTTGGTGTTGCAGTCCTTGACCAGTGACTTTTAAGGGTCATAAGGTGACATTGGCTCACCTTGGCTTCCCAAATGAGTAACCAGCTCCATGTATTGAAGGTGAACTCTCAGGTTATGTCTAGTGTACAAAATGTGAATAGCATCTCAAACACTATGAAATGTCAGCTGATGTTATTGTGGAAATTCATTTGAAGGCAAGCAAGTCGAAATCGAGCACAGCTGTCCGATGTTTCCCTGTGCAGAGGAACAGGTTATACTCAGGTGTTCTCTAGCCTTGTTCTAGTGTGTTCTCAGCTTTATCTTCTGTCTTCATCTCCTTTGCTGCTCTGCTCTTATCTGCTGAAGAAAAGTCCAAGATAAACATCTCAGTGAGGTACCAGATGTCTCAGTAGCTTCTCATGAATGAGAAATGTATAGTGAAGGTTGGAAATAGTAGTTCTTATGGAACAGGGAAAAGAAATTGTAACTTAATCTGTCTGTGACAGGCTTCTGAAAAAGTGGGGATCAGCAGGTGGTGGGTTACTGGGTGAGAACAAATTTATGGCCTAGGAAAAAATAATCCTGGTAGGATATAGTAGGATTATTGAAAATGACAAGATACAAGGTTCTGCTGGATGTTTTTTCATTATGGTGAATGCTGGCTCTGGTTAAAAAGATTGTCTCTCTGGCTGTAGATCAAAAACCTGTGCTTTGCTTGTTGCAAACTTGTAAAATTCAAAAAGGAAGAAGAAAAAGCAAGAGAAAAAAGTATTATTTTTTTCCTGTTCGCCTGTCTTTCTCCTTTCTTCCAGATTCCCACAAAAGCATAATGGTTCTTTGGTGGACAAGAACTGTTCTAAACCAGTCAAGTTTCTGAGTAAGTGAAAGTTCTATCAGTCACTTCCAGCAGTTGCCTTTTCACTCTTTTCCAGCTATTTCTCCAGCACAAGGAGAAAGTTTTCTAAAGAGTGAACTAATGCTATTGCCACATGGTTTTCTGAATGCCTGGGAGGGCTGTGCAAGTTAGATTCTGACTGATGTTCGTGCTGGCATTTGGGATTGTTAAGGAGGAATTTAATGGAGCTATGCTGATTTATATATGTGAAGCACAAGGTCTTTCACATGTCTAGTTTCTACTGTTTTATGGTTACTTTTTATTTTATTGCTGACCAGCAGCCAAAGTGATTTCCTTTCATCTTTTTCTGGCAGAAGTCTGAGCCCCGTGTCACGGGCGGTGGGACAGGGACAAGCACATCCCAGGGGCACAGAGCCCTGGGGCAGTGCTGGGACAGTCCCCAGGGCAGTGGGCTCTCAGGACATTGTCCCCAGCCCTGGGGCAGGCAGGAGGAGCAGGGCTGTGGGGCTCATGCTGTGGGTCATGGGGACAGGCTGCAGCTCTCACCTCTGCCTGGGTTTTGCTGTGGGAGGTTTCCCTGACCGGTGATCCCCTTCTCTCTCACCTTGGTTTAAACCTGTTTTAACTCCCTTGGTGCCCCTGTCTCTGCCAGGGAGAGAAGTGGCTAAAGAACTGGGCATTTTCAGTCCTTTTTTCTCTTGTTATTTTTCCAGCCTTCTGTTTAACCCTCCTTGCCAAAAGCGCTCTTTGGTGACTGGCAAACTAATTGGCCGGAGGAGGTGTCATCAAAAATTCATCTCAGATAATTAGACACTGAGCTATCATTATCCTTGAGGTTCAATTCATTTTTGTTTTCATTAGCTCTGTGCTTCCCCGTGGCAGATATTTCTGATAATTTCCAAACACAGAGGGGGCTGGCACGTTTTCAGCCGTGCTTCTCTTGCACGTCCTTGCTTACTGAGCAGGAGCTGGGGGAAATCTGTGCTGGTCAGGCTGCATATTCATAATTTTGTCTCTTTTGCAGGCCTTCTTATGGAAGAAGCAGAAGTTTCACTAGGCTTTGGTGGAGAGATGACAAATTCAGTGCCACACAGTTTGTGAAGGAGCATTTCTGTTTTTCCAGCATTCTCAAATAAATGTCATTTCAAACAGCTGTTGATAGCGTTAAGCAATCTCATTTGCATTTTCTGTCATTCTAATTACATAGTAATTAATTTCTGATACAATGGCAAATTAATGTTAGAGTGGGGTCCATGAAATTTTATTGCTTTATGTGAAGCAGCATTCTTTTGGTTATGAGTCCTTACATATGAAATGAATATATCAAGATTTCTGCCAGCAGAGCCTTAGCACTTTTAAATTTTTTAATACAACATTGAAATTCGGAAAAAAAAAATTACTGACAATTCCATAGTGAAGAATAATATGCCTTTGTCTCTGGTATAAAAAAAATATTTTTTTTATGCTGCTGTTCTATATTTTGCAATAATAAACAATTCTGAGTATTAGAGGTAGCAAAATAAGGAATTTGTGTATATTTTTTTAAAAAATACACAAGTCCTGATATTTCTTTTCTCATTATCAGGAATTCTCATAATTCCTGATATTTAGGAACTTGTTTTCATTGTTATGAATAATCAGAAACACAAAAATATTTCCCCAAAATACACACTTAAAATTTTTCTTAAATCTACCGAAATACTCATGGGAAAGTAATTTTGAAAGGGAATCTGTAATTACTTGGTATGATTGAAAGAAAATTAATTTAGGATCAATATGATCTTACAGAAAATAGAGAAGCTGATAAAAAAAAAATAAGTATTTTAATTGGAGGAGTTTTCATTGTAAGTATTTGTCATATTTTATTAGGCACTTTATGTCCTGGAAGTGTAATGCTGTTGGACTGCATTTATGTATTTAAAATTTATAAATATTTCAATGTGTCTAAAAAATGTATTCTTATTTTCTGAACAGCTGCATGCTCAGCCTTTTCCAGAAAATTATGTCACCTGACTGTAGAAACCTAAAACAAGCAGTCAGCAGTAATTATTAGTCCTGATGCCATTGATTAAAATGCTCCATGGCTTTTCTCTCTGGCTGTTGATTGCTTCCTGCTAGGAGAGGAGCTGCTCGTACCAGAGATGTGGAAACTGCTGGCAGAGAGCAGTTAATTTACAGCTTGTCTGTACTCTGTATGTGCCTCTTATAAATTCCAGGTTGCATTTGGGCTGCAGTGGGACACGAGCAGGTTGTGATCAGGTTTCACCCTGCGCTTGGCAGGGTTTGCATTCAGCAGGAAGGCTGGGCCTGGAGCACAGCAAAGCAAACAAGACCCTGCAATAACTCCAGAGTCCCTGTTTGGTTTTAATCAAATCTGCTTTAGTTTCTTGAGTGGAGATGTAGTGAATTGAAAGATTTTGGTGAACACAGAGCTGGTAGGAAAGACAGGTGGGGCCATTAAAAGCAGCTCAGCACCACGTTACACATCTCGGGCTCATCCTGCCTGCAGCTCAGCTCTGTTGGGTTTAGAGCTGAATTCCTGCTGGCACACACTGCCTGTAGCTCTGCTGATGGGCACCAGCTGCAAACAAGGCTGAGGAAATGGGAGCTTTCTAAAGCTGTCTTTATTAAAATTACTTTTCTTCCTGTTGTCTCTGGCTTTTACTTCTGAGTTACGAGCAACAGAACCACACACTGTGTAGGCACGTAGATTTCCCAGAGGTTGTATTTCACATTTTCCTATTTCACATTTTTCAAGGATATGCTTTCTTTTAAATTTCATTTTTTTCTTCTCTTTTTTTTTTTTTTCTTTTTTGATAAATCTAGGCTCTCTTCTCCACAATGAGCTGCTCTATCACATTACCCAGGGGGAACAGTATGTTCTTCTCTAGGCTTTAACTGGATGGAGCGATGAGTGAGGGTCACTCATTCTCCTCTTGACTAGGAAAGCAGAGTGACCCTTTTACTGGTGTGTTGAACTTAGTCAAAATTTCATTCTAGGATATTAGCTAGTAGATTGATAATTTAAAATGTCAAATTCTTTCATCAGTATTATTGTATATATTTGCAAGCCAACTAACGATGTGAAAATGTTTTAAGGAATAACAAAGTGAACTACTGTTAATTGTGTATTTTCATTCTTATTTTAAAAGCAGGTTGAAATTAATAAAATTAAAAATCACCAAATAAGTGATATCTCTTAAAAATGTGGTATCTTTGTATCTTGAGAGCAAAGTAAACTTTAGAGTGAAACAATACTGAAGAATTCATGGGCATGTTCAGTGTTAAATAACATGCTGAAAGGACATGGAGACCTTCATCTTTCTTTGATAAAGCATTTTTGAAATGAACATCTTATCAGATCAGAAAAGCTGGTAATATTGGCAGATCAGCACAAGTTGGTTATGTCAATCTGACATTTGATCATAAGTAATGTACTTTTGGTGAGAAAGAAAGTCAAAGTGAAGGACATCACAACTTTCATAGGCAGTGTTCCAAACTCAGAAAGATGGTGTTTTAAAACATTTTCTCTTTCCATCTCAAGTACCAATTCTACTCTTAGATTCTCACAAAATGAGTTCTGTACTTGCCTCAATCTTATTCCTGGGTCCAGACATTTGACTCTGTGAGCTCTGGAGTACATGGCACAAGAGAAAGTTGAGGTTTTTTCCCAAGACATTGTTGTAAAGAATTTTGCATCTAAGCTGTTGAGTTGACTACAAAACTTTTCCTAATTCATATTTTTATATGTGATTTATTTTTTTTAAAGAAACTCTTGTATTTTATTGTCTCATCATCACTAGTTAAACTTTCATTTCTGTTTTCAATCCATGTTGATTGATAAATGAGACAGCCCCTTCCCAGGTGTTAATTTCACCATTTTTCTCTTGCACTACAATCAAGTTTCCTGTGCTGGTGCACTCTGAATTTTGCTGGACAGCTTCCCTTGAAGGGTGTTCTGTATCTGTGATATACAGCACATCTCTTTTTCTGTCCCTGCTTATGTCCTGTGCCCTGCAGACCAAGTACCTGCACTGTGGAATAGATCAGCCATGAGTTAATATATTGGGCAAAGCAGTCAGGCTCTATTAATTCCATCTAATCAGTGGCTAATTTATGGCTTTTGCCTTGCAGCATAGGTGAGGCAAAGCCTGCATGTGCCCACAGCATACATTGTGGACATACTTTAACCTGCATCACTGCGGTGAATTCAGTATAAATTCTTCTTTCATAGAGATTTCTACTGTGAAGTAGTAATTTGTGGTAATTTGTCAGGCAGTGTGACCCCATGCCATTTAATGAGAGGCAACTTGAATATGCTGCATTAATGGGCATTTGTGGTGGGCTTACTTCTCAATTTATCTTAGAGACAAAAAACTGGTACAGGATTTTACAAATTATAAATTAAATGTACAGATATCTCCAGCTCAGACCAATCTAATAGCCAACATTCTTGCTTCAATGGCAGTGGCTGGATCAGCTTTTAAAACAGTTTGTACACATAAATCTTGAGGTTTAGAATGGCAGTGAGATACAGTCCAGAAACCCCGTGAAATCAAGCTGCCTCTGAAGTTTCTGCTACTTCTTGGGAAAATTGTCTTTTTCTTGTTTTTCTTGCTTCAGGCTGAATGCAAAGAGATCAGAAAGATAAAGTTATATACTTATATACTGAGGTAGCAGCACACAGAGAATCTTTTCAAATATGGATATTGAAACAAAAAAAATAATATTTTTTGAGAATATTTTCCACTGTCATCAGAATTTACCATATCATCAGAAAAAGAAAAAAAAAAAATCAGGCTTCTAGTTCTATATGCTAATCCAGACAAATAATTTAAAGTGTACCTCATTCTTGCCAAAATTTTTATAACATATTAATTACTTTATTTTTATATTACCTTAGACACTGTATTGTTCTAAATAATGATCCCCAGGCCTTCAACCTGGTTGCCACATTTTGTTTCCTTGGCTGATATTTGGGGTTTCTGCTGTTCCCTCCTCCTTTTTGTGTCTTCTAGGCACTGCCTGCTGCTTCTGTTGACATAACCAAACCTTTGGAGTCCAGCTCCATTGAAATCTTAGTTTAGCAACATCAGAAGCTCTTGATCTAAAAGCCAGAAGCTAACATTTACTGTAACTGGGAGTAGATATTACTTCTATCTTCTGCAGATCAAAATTACATTTATTTTGTGAGTATATATACTGCATTTGCTAGAATGACCAATATTTGCTGCAGAAAAGAGGAAATTACATCCCCCACTCTGAGAAAATTGGTATCTAATAGTTGCAATCTATCTTTTTTAATTGAAGGGGTGAGGTTCTTATACATGAAACAAATGATCCTGTGGCCACAATTATAGTAACTCTGACTTAATTTTTGGTCACAAATAATTTAGTTAATTTAGTGTCACTATTACTGTTTCTGAGGATGCTTGGCCTGAGCTTGATCACACTGGCCTGCCAGACCTTGATCCATGTCAGCAGGTTTTTGGAGTCTGTTTTTATTTCAGCATTCCTGAAGTTTGCTTCTGCTATTTTCCTGTGTCCTGGCATTAGATTATGCCCAAAAGATGTAGTGATCCCCTAAAATATTGCTTTCTACATGTGCATTGTCTCTTTATGTATCTTCCAGTTATTTTTAAGGTAAACCAAAATGGGATTGGCAAGAAATTATTTTTCTCCTTTCTATCTAAATTTCTTTCATTTGGATAGGAAGATCTCTTAAGGAGCAGATGGAGTAATTTGGTAAATAACATGGAGAACTGGGAAGGGAGATTATTTCTAAAATAAAAAGCAATATATTTTTTTAATGATAATGTCTGGCCTGGATATGAAATTAATCAGGGAACTGAAATAAATAAACAGGAAACTTGAAAATAAAGGTCTCATGCAATTAGAATCACAGAATCAAAGGAATAACTTGGGTTGGAAGAGGCTTTAGAGTTATTGGTGAGATTAGTGGGAGTTTTATTTATCATTACATCTCTCAAATGACTACTGGATAATGATTCTGTGAAATTGTATTTGAAAAATGAAGGAATGAGTCTGATATAGGTGTCAAATTGTTTTTAAAGATAGAACTCAAGACCTGTTCTGGGAAAAGGGGGTAGGGGTTAGGTTTTGTTTGTCCAGTCTGATGCTAAATAC